ATAATAATATAAATACTTACTGGCCGACTGGGAGAAGTTAAGTTGACTCCTTCTGTTCGAACCAGAATTCCCTCTTCTCTCTTTCTCTCTTTCTCTCTTTCTCTCTTTCTCTCTTTCTTTATCACTTTTTCTTCTTCTACATAACTGAACTCAGTCAGGCCGAACTCTAAGGCAGACCTGAATTATAACAACCTATATAAGAGAAATTAAGGAATAAAAAAGGCAAGAAGAAGCTCATTCATTCATCTCTCTATCTCTTTGGTACCTAGGAGACTACACCCTCTTGAAGTGGTGCCTGTGTTGTCACCATAAAAGGAGATTCAGCAAATACAATCAGGTGGCTAGCTCACTCTGGCAGTGACTTTAGCTCATTTCTTGACTGAAGCAAGGGATATCCTCCTCAACCTAAATGCACAGCTGGGTTGGATCCCTAGGGAGCTAAACACTGATGCAGATGGTCTAGCAAAAGCTGGTGCTCACAGGGATGTCTTGTTTAGTGATAGTTCTCTTCCTACTTAACTTTTGAGTTGTAATTTCTGTGTACATCTTCTTATGTACCCTCTATTTCATTAATAAATTTACCATCTTTTTCAAAAAAATAATCTCTGAAAGAGGACGGTTGCTACACCAAGGGTCTTTTCAGAAAGCCAACCTGCCACCATTCCCCAACTTAGGACTAAGACCTCTACTAAAACTTGGGAGAATGTCCATAATTTTCCTCCAAATTGAGAACCTTAAGAGGGCAATGAAGAAGTAGTTATCCAATCTCCTCTGTCTAAACCATATTTGGCAGCAATTAAGTCTCTCCACCACCTTCCCCTTTCCACCCAAACATCCATATCCACCTTCCAAAGAGTGCAATGTTAAAAATCTTCAAGCTCCTAATCCCCAGTCCTCCTTGACCCACTGGAGCACAAATCTGATCCCAATTAACTAGGATAATTTTTTCCTCCTCCCGACCCTTCCACAGAAAATCCCTCTGCAACTTTTCTATTTTTTGAGCCGCTTTCACTGGAATTGGAAAGGGGGACAAGTAGAAAGCAGAAAGATTAAAGAAAGAGCTCCTTAGGAGGATGATCCTACCTCCAAGAGACAAGTATTCAACTCTCCAAGAAGAGAGTTTATTTACTAGGCACTCCAGAACTAGATCCTAGATCAGAGTTGAGGTGCATTTAGTCCCAGAGGGAGGCCCAGGTATTTTGATGAATCAATTATTCATAAAAAAAAAAAAAAATCAGAGAGAATCAATGTTCTCCACATTTCCCACTGGAATTAGGCTACTTTTACTCCAGTTAACCTTTAAAGTTGCCACCACTTCAAACCAGCTTAGGACACCCAACAGCACTTCTAATTGATCTACCTTTGCATTAACAAAGCAAAGAGTATCATCAGTGAACTGAAGGACCTGCACTGTTTCTCCATAAGGGACCACTTCAAATCCATCCCAAATCCCCACCTCCCCTACCTGATGAATAAAAATGTGTAGGATTTCTATTAAGCAGATAAACTAAAGAGAGGAGAGAGGGTCTCCTTTCCTCAGCCCCCTAGAGCTCTTAACAAAACCAGCCGACTGCCCATTTACAAGGACAGAGAACATAGGGGAAGTGATGCAAACCTTAATCTAGTTTCTCCATTTCTGACCAAAATTCATTCTTGCAATAACAAAATCTAAGCATCTCCAGTTAATATGATCATAGGCTTTTTCCAGGTCAAGCTTGCAAATCAACCCAGGTTTCCCCTCCCTTTTTCTAGAGTCAATCAGCTCATTGACCACCAAAACACAGTGCAACATTTGACACCCAGGCACAAAAGCAAATTGGTTTTCAGCTACCACACTACTGAGTTCCTTTTTCAACCTCTCTACCAGCAGTCCAGCACCTTTGCCAATATTTTGTAAAAGCTATTCAGCAAACTAATCAGCCTGAAATCCTTAATGTTTATGGCCCCTTTTAATTTTGAGATAGGAGAGATGAAGGTTGCATTTAAGCTCCTCTCCAGTGAAGCATTCCGATGAAAATCCTGGAAGACTTTTAGCACATCCTCCTTCACCACCTCCCAACAATTCTTATAAAAAAGATTGGGGAGCCCATCCGAACCTGGGGATTTATCAATGCCTAGCTTCTTCACCATTTTCCAGATTTTCTCTTCAGGGAAAGGAAATTCTAACTCTGTTTGCTGATCATCCGATGGTCTTTTAAAATTTATGCCAATTGGCAAAGGCCTTCTTACCCAAACCTCCTTGAATAAGTTAGAGAAAAATCTAGTGGCTTTGTTTTTCATCTCCGGCCAATGTTCTCCCACCAAACCATCATGCTCTAGCCTACCACTGGAGTTTACCCAATTTCTTGTATTGGTCTTATGGAAGAAGCTCGAGTTTCTGTCCCCTGCCTTGAGCCACTTCACTTTTGCCCTTTGTCTCAATTTTAATTCATCCTTAAAAGCCAACTTATCTAGAACCACCTTAGCTAACAATCTTTTCTACTTTTCTTCTTCAGAAAAAGGACCCCTTTCTTCACCCAGATCCACCTCCTTATTGCCTATAAGCTAGATTTCTGGACATTTTTGGAGTCCAGTCGTGTTTTCCTGAGACTGGAAGAATTTCCCCAGGAGTTGGCATTTTCTGGGCTGAGTGGAAGGGGAAAAGTGATTTGGGAGTTCTTCCTTTGGCCCTGGTGTGGACTGTTTGGCTGGAAAGGAACTCCAGAATTTTTGAAGGTAGAGGGAACTCGGAAGAGTCAACTGTAAAGGCCCTATGGAGCAGAATATAGTCGTGGGTAGCACACCCTTTATAGCTCTTTCTTCATTTCTGATACTCTTTTTTGTTTCCAAAGAGCAAACTGATGTATAGTTGGCCTTGCTGTGCAAGCATCTTTCTGTAGCAGGGATAGTGGTTTTGTAATACTCTTGTTGTTCAATACAATACATTACTTTCTTCGGGAAAAAAAAAAATGAAACCTCTTATAATCCTGCCCGTCTTTCTACTTCTGTTATTTCTAAAGATCCCTAGCAGAGGAAAAAAAAATCCACAAACAACTACTGATAAGCACAGATTATCAACACTCAGAAAGCACAAGAGGTTCATTAATTGCAACTGAATACACTAGATTGAAGAATCAAACTGAAGCATCAATGATAACTTACGTGACTCAGATGACTTCGTTGCTGGCAAATTCCCCTCCAATCTCTCCACTCGAAAAGTTACCGGAAGGTTAATGTCACAGGACAAGAAAAATCGGAATTCATTTCCACTCATCTCTTCCACGAGTTCTGAGTTATCGTAGAAAGGGTTTCCAACGGCCTGCCAATGACTAGGAATCTCTATAACAGAAAAACAGAAAGAGAGACCTGAAAACTATAAATCTTCAAATTTCAAGCCCGACGGATCAAGGTTGAGAAACCCAAATACCCAATCGCCTCTCTCTTCGTATTTTTCTTCTTCCTGAGGCAGAGAGAAAGGGAGAGAGGGATTATTCCTCGGGTTAAGACAATGGATAGAGAGGGGGAGAGAGAGAGAAAGAGGAGGAAGACACAGAGAGAGAGACAGAGCAAGAGAGGGAAGAGGGGAGAGAGCTTACCAGCGATTACGATCGTGCGCATAGAGACAGAAGACATGCTCTTCTACGGTAGAGTAGTGGTGGAGGTCTGGTCGACAACTCGATCCAGTTACAGAGAGGCGTTTGTTTGCACTAAACCGGCTTCTGGAAGGGCTTTCACGCAATGGGTTTGGCGTTCGGCTTTCCGAAGTGGGGATCATTCGGAAGGCCTATAAGCAAATAGCAAATCTTTGTCGTCGTCGTAATTCGTACATCAATTTAGACGGCTCTCGGCGCTCCGGACAAGCCTTTTTAAGTAGCTTTTACAAAGCAGCTGAACCAAAGCTAATTTCTCCCAATTCCCAAACGAGTTCAGTTTTCAGTTTTCACACGTCACCTTTGGTACAGCGATACACCCATTCACCTTTCGTTTCGTGCGATGCCAAATGCTTGCCCAATACTACACGCCATTTATTTTTAGTAGGGGTGCTAAATGGGAATTCTCATTAGGTGAATAAATTCATGAGCCCCACCGTACAAGATGCACGTTTTATTTGTGCGGGCTGTGGCAAGGTTTAAAATATCGAAAATATAAAATGTATTGGAAAGATTATTTTAAGAGACGTATCAGGATACACTTTGGATACATATGGTTAGACCAGGCAATTGGGTTGGGTTATCAAATGTTAGACCCTGATTCTAAATGCTCGGGTCAGGTAGGGTTGACCCATGGGTCAATTTGGGTCATCCCAAAAAAATAACTGAAATTTTAAAAATAAAGAAAAACTACATGAAAATGCCAAAATGAAAGGAATTAACCTTGAAATTCCAAATATAAAATAAAAAAACTTTAACATTTATTCATTTAACAATTTAAAGAGTGATGAATCAATTTTTGTGCTAAGTACCTCATCATTTGGTCTGCTTCCAAGTGGCCGATGACTCAGAGGCCAAAGTGGAGAACTTTTGCTGGATGAGGACCTAGATGCCGAGCTAACTAGGCCGAGCTAGAGGCAGATCAGGTGTCGAGATGACTAGGCCGAGTTGGGGGCAGATTAGGTGCCGAGCTAACTAGGCCGAGTTGGAGGCAAATTAGGTGTCGAGCTAACCAGGCCAAGCTGGGGGCAGATTAGGTGTCAAGCTAACTGGTGGCGAGCTGGATTGATTGTTGAGCTATGTAGTTCTTTAGAAAAAACCTACAAGGAATCAATGTCAGAGGACCCAGGGTGACTAACCCGGCAAGGTCGCTCAGATGATTAAGTTAATACTCTCATAGTAGATTGCGAGCTAAAAAATCACAAAGTATGAGAGCTAGAATGTGCTTACTTGCCCCCCCCCATGTCATTGGGGTTGGTGCCTTTATATAGGCATTGTTTGGCGTGGGCTTCACCCACCGTATCTGAGATTTTCGAGAGGTTGCCTAAGTGGTCCGAGATTCCCAAAGGCAACCGCCATGCACGTTGACCATCCTCCAGAACGTTCGATACATGGGCCAACTTCCAAGGATTTTGGGAGTGTTGGGATATGCGTGCCGAATTTGTTGGCGAGCACGTCTCGCAGGTCGCCACCTGGACCTCAGTCAGGCCGGCACGCCCTCGAGGGAGGTTGCTCCTTGTGTCGAGGTCACTTCGACCATGACGAGGTGCTGCAAGTCGGCCCTAGACAAGGTGTTTCTAGCCGACCTGAGTTGTGGTCGAGGTTGCTAGTTCGGCACAAAGGCTAGTCACCAGATCGACGATGAAGGCAAGTCGCCGGGTCGGCATTAGTGTCAGGTTGCCAAGTCAGCGACAGTGCCATGTTGCTAGGTTGGCGGCAGTGCCAGGTCACCAAGTCGGCGTCAGTGCCAAGTCGCCAGCTAGGACACCATCATCTTGTGTAAGACAAGTTGTTGCCTAAGTGGTTTTGGGTGTCACCCAGTTGTTCCGAGATGCCATGTGTCACAATGTTATTGGAGGGCCAAATCCGCCCTCATCAATTGCCCCCCACTCCCGAGCTAAAAGTAACTCAACGAAGGAAGTAGATTGCTCCTTTTGGCCTGGAATGACTAATTCGATGAGCTCGTAAGTGTCGATTCAATTTTCTTCTCAGGTCGGAAGAGTCCAAGTGTTTGCAACCTTGTGCAGGACCTCACCATCTTTATTTTCGGGGCCCAAGAGCGAATTCATCTTCTTGAGGAGAGGTGGAGTAGGTACCCCGAGGACATCTACCTTATTAGGGATGTGACCATCAAGAGGTTCTACGATCCGACTAAGTACCTCAAGAGTGAAGCTCTCATGCCGTCCTTAAGAGGGGGTTCTGTGTGACTGCTTTATCAGATCGCTCCACCTAGGTAGACTTCGATGCAGCGTCCTTCAAGCTGGTCCCAGCCAGTGATTTTGATACGAAGCCTACAACCGAGGTGGAGGTCAGCTATGAAGAAATCAAGTTTGCATACATCATGGTGCTGAGAGCGAACTAGTCTTTCCTTTGTTTTCTCGTGCTGAATGCGAACTTGCTTTATATTTCATCCACTCACGTGGTGCCAAGGTCTTTTATCAGCTTGGCACCTTAGCCCTTAGGCTCTGGGAGTGACTCACAGTCCACTCTCCTTACCCTTGATTTTGCCCATGCCAAAGAGGCGACTGGGTATTATGTGGTGCCGAGGTCTTTTACCAGCTCAGCACCTTAGAGCTATGGTTGTGCAGCATCAGCCTCGTTAGTGACGCCGGTCACCCACTCCTACAAGAAGCTACTAGGAGCTCAACCTACCAGGGGAAGCACTATTGACCTTAGGTCACCACCTCGCATGGGAGCTTTGGAAGGCTCGACCGGCAAGGGCGTCCATGTAGTCCGTTGGCTGCCAACTCCCGCGGAAGCCACCAAGAGTTCATCTTGTAGAGGGTACCTCGCGAAGAGGACTGATGAGGTTTTATCCAAGTTGAAATAAAGTCGGCATAAGTGCTTAGTCTATTGGCCATTAACTTCCTACGGGAACCATGATTGGCTCAACCTATGAGGACAGCCTTACACCAAGGTGTCTGTCGCCGGACTGCTAGTTGTCCAGGTCATTCTGCTGCTACCTGTTCTACATTAACATGAATATGTCGAGCTGGGTGTTGATGTTTTTGCCCCCCAGTATGAAGGAATGAGAGATCCAACGTATGGACGCCCAAATCTTGCGGAATAAGGTGGGCGAATTTCAAAAAAATTTCTCTCCCTTTAACTGGGAATCGCATTCCCTATTTTAGAAAATCATATTTTCAATGATCAATCTTGAACCATAAACAGAACCAGATCTGAATAAAAATAGTAGGAGAGGATTATACCTAATACAGAGAAATATTATCTCTCAATGGAGGTGTACACGCCCAAGGAAGGATCCAAAAGCTGCTCCCACTGAAAATGACACAGTGTAGGGTGGAGCAGAATCAGCAGTGTTCTCTCCAAGAACCTAATCCTTAGCAAGAAGTAGTAGGATGGCATATGAACACAACTTCCTATCAGTCCCTTCACAAGGAACTGATGTCAAGATCGAATCTTGGTTTCTCCCACTGAACTGGAGATCGAACTGGCAGGGTAGGCGGCAACAGGAAGGAGGCAACAAGAAAGAATTTCGCAGGGTTGCTTAATTCTTCCTTCTGGGATTTCAGCTCTAAAGAGGATGTGAATGTATGTCTTCTAAAGGCTTCCGCCCCCTCCTACTTTTGTAACCTTAAAGAGATCACCTCCTAATCCCATTAGGAGTTGCTGATCCAAATCATATTTGGATCAGACATCCCTTTAGGTGATAAGGATAAACCCTTATCTTATCTGCAGATTGGATCAGCCTTTTCCTAATCTCATTAGAAGGTTTCCAGATCTGAATCACATTCAGATCTGGACTCTCTGAGTGGATAGGGTTAAGACCCTATCCTATCTGCTGATCCATTCCCAGAATTCGCCTCATATTTAACTAACTAAATTAGCCTAGTTCGAAATGGGCTTTAGGCCCATTAAGGTTATGTGCTCACTTAGCCTTCCTAACTGCTGCCCAGTTGAGCTTCCTTGTATGGCGTGGGACCTAAACATTGATCTACACATCAGCCACATGGGTTCGGCCCAGCCTTTGTTACAAGGCCTGGCCAAATACACTGTTATAGACAGTGCACCCCCTGAAACCCATCACATGGTCTCTATGGGCCCAACACTTACCCTAAGTGGTCCCTGGGCCAAGCCACCTTGTAGCACCCAGGGACTGTGGGCAGATGCAAGATTAGCCCATTAGGTATTACCCTCTATGGTCTTACACTTAACATCTCAGCCCATAATGATCAAACACTGCCCGACAAGAGAGGACCTCTCCCTTGGCTGCAAGGAACAGTGTTGCACTCTCTACTTATATGGATCCCGGGAATTAAAACCTTTTGCAAACTTTTGGAAACCATAATATATATATTTACTTTTATATCTCATATAAAATATATTTT